GAGATACAGGGGAACGTAGAGTGAGGGAAGACGTGGGAACGACCCCAACAGTACCTTCAGAGTTACTCACAACACTCTCCTAATGGAGAGATAAAGAGAATAATCACAACAGTTTATGGGAAGATACTGAAAAAGCAACAAGTTCTCTCAGCCTTGAAGTGGATTATGGTACACTCTGAAATGTATCTGGGAATCAATACATGGTGTATATACATGTAGAATGTATATACATGTACATGTACATGTAAATATGCATTGGTTTGTGTACCAATTGAACTATAAATGTTTGTTTAGCATTATGCAAGCTAGAGTAAACTATCTGGTACAAGTTATCTCTTTTCTTTTGACTTGTTTCTGTTTCCATTACCCTCTCTTTATCTCTCTCTCTCTTCCTCTCTTACTGTTTTGTTATAATTCACAATTGTCAACACGTCTCCTTTCTTGAAACTGAGCTTCTATAAATAAAAGGAGAGAGAGTGAGAGCTCAAACAATACAACTATACAATAGTAAACAACCATGCACTCATGAATAATACATAGATTCATGTGTATAATAACAATATATTCTCTCTCACCTCTCTCTCTTCTGCTGGTGAAGGCTCTTTATCAGTCATGGCTGCAAAGCATATGCTTCCAGGCAGTACTGTAACCTAGCGGGCGGGCGAGAGTAAGGATTGGAAATCAGCTGTTGGACTCTCTTATCTCACCTCCTCCTCTTCCATGTCGAGTTGTGTATTGGCCTCGTGTCCCGTTTATAGATCCTGTCTTTCTTTTGGTGTCTTCTTCTTGTCTTTTATAGCTTGCTCAGCTCACATTCACTTGCAATATAAAGGCAGAGAGGGAGAGAAAAGGGCGAGAGTACTAATGGTATTTCTGGCCTGCAAAGAAATTCCTAGAGGAGGAGCTTTTTGCCATTTTCGCTACGCCCACAACCAATAATAATTTTAGACCACGCCTTTTAATTAATTTTAAGGGCGGGGGGTCTGGTTATTTTTATTAAAATTATTTGATTATTTTAAATAGTTTGTTAAAGTTAATATAATAACTAGCCCCTCCTTCTTAAAATGTCAGAACCATCTTATCAAAGGGAGTATTCAGTCAGCGGTGGATCTGACAGTGATGAAGCTGCCAACATTAAAATATCAGTCAGTAATTGATCTATTATTCATATTTTATT